GTATCTCCTGGGGGGTTTGAGCTGGGGAGTGAGGTGACACTGTAACAGTCTCTGATCAACTCAGGAGCTGGGGAAGTGTTTGTGTGTGTGTGTGTGTGTGTGTGTCACATGACCTCACCTGTCACAATCTGTCTTTGCATTTGTTTGTTTGCGAGTCAGTGCAGGTGTCACTGAGTGTCTGTTAGAACACATTTGTGTGTATTACTCAGTTTGCTACATACAAAACACTTCAGTTGTCAGCCACAGACCCCGTCTCCCTCAGAGGCCTACACTCCAGTGTCTGCTTCATGGCGATGAGAGCATCTTTGCACTGAGGTGTAGGTGCTGTGAACATTTTCAGTTGAAATCCAAAGTTAGTTGCAGAATATAATTATAATTGCGCCAAATAATTACGATGAAATTGTTTCTTTAACAGCTGAAGGCTTTTGATTGGGTAATTTTCAGTTTATTTCAAGATAAACGCTGCAATCAGGAAAGCATAGCTCAACCAAGTCTCAGTTTCTTTGTCACAGATGCCATTCAAAAACAGCATGACTGCCAATGAGTGTTAATGAAAAATGCAGCTTCCTGAATAATAATGATGCATTTTGGGGTGTACTTTGCAGCATCTGTATTTCCCATAAAACAACTGCTTTGTTTTTATCATAGGGTGATTTTATTGTAACAAAATCTAAACTTGCACCATTAATAACACTGGCTGACCAGATTGTTCATTAATTAAAAGGATTGGGTGTCCAAAATGCATCATTACAGTTTGTTCCTTCACTGTACCGTACTGTTAGTCCCATGGTAAACAGAAATGGCATCCAGAGCTTTGTTTTGTTTGTAGTTCCCATATTTTCCCAACAAAGTCAATTCCCTGTTTGAACAAAGTGCCTGAATATGCAAAGACTGAATAATCTCTCTCAGGGAGATAGTAAAAACATCCACTTCATGGCGACCTGTGAGTCAGTCTACTTAAGACAGCAAAGACAAACACTTGTGCAAGGTGAGGCGAGGTTAAAGAAAAATCACGAACAACATTCTGCAGGAAACAAAGCGAGAAACATAAAAATGAAATAAAATGGAGTTTGCATTTTCATGGTGTCAACATCTGAATTTAGCTTGACACTGGGTTGTGTTTGGGTTTTTTACTTAAGCTGTTTGACTCAGCTGTCATGATGAAATCAAGCAACATCCTTTGTATTTCTTCCTTTGTTTTTGTTACATTTATTTTATTTTTTATTTATTAGGCTAGGTGTTTTAATGAGGAATCAACTCTCAACCCCTAAATTTATAAATATGTCTGATGCCACAGTTTGATTTACCATTTGCCCCCATGTGGTTAATATTCATTTTGTATGCTAAAATAGACTAAAATAGACTTTAGTAAGAGTGTCAGTGACAAAACATTGCTTTTCATTAATCTAATACAAAAGACAAACTTGTGGTCCCTTTTTTTTCTTACAAGACAAAAACAGGATTACTTTGAGCTTACATGTTGATACAAAAACAAGGCCAGGTAGAAGTAGAATTCATACTGTTCACTTCCAGGCCACTGAAAAAAAAAGCTTAAGTTATTACTCCGGTGAGAGAACCACTTAATTTTACAGGTCGCATAATTATGGAATCAATGGGAGGTTTCTTGAAGAGAGAATGTAATTTGGTACACATTAAGGGAAGACGGAGACAATGCTCTGAGACAGTACACAGTACAGTAGTAGGGCTGCAACCGATGTTAATTTTCATTATCGATTAATCAGCCAATTATTTCCTCAATTGATTGTATCATCTAAAAAGATATCAGAATAGTGAAAAATGCTTGTTATAAAACATTCAAATTGCCTGTTTTATGCAGCCAATAACTGAAAACCTAAACCATACCACTCTCATGTCTGTAATGTTAGTTTAGCTTAGTATAAAGACTGGCAAAAGGGAGAAACAGCTAGCCTTTTTAATCCATAATAAAAAGTGTAAAAATAAACAAAACACATTGTAGTTATGTGGCAGACTTGCTGAAGTCTAGTCTTCCCGCTAAAGGCTTAGGGAAGAAGTCAAGGAATAGTTCCTTACATAATATATGAAAATTGTATGTCTTTCCAGACTTTAGCTAAGCTAAGTTAGCCAGCTGTTGGCATTAGCTCTACATTTACCCCACTGTCATGGACAAAATGGTATCAATCTTCTAATGTAACTCTTGACTAGAAAATGAATAAGTCTATCTCCCAAAATGTCAGCCTTTCCCAGTCATGTACAAACAGTAATGAACCGGGTTACAGTCCAGTAGCTTTGTGTTCATCTTATTTGTCTGAGCCTCAGAGAAGGCAAAAATGTGTGCACATTGTCAAGCCATTCTGATGTCCCATTTTGGAGAGAAGGAGAAACCTTCCTTATTGCTAATAATCCAAGGTCGGTGCGAGTCGTACAAACACAGTGCAGCTCCCACCACTATGCTCTCCTTTGTGTTGATCACAGAGACCAGCTGGCCATCACCTTCCCACAAAATCCATATATCAGTTGCTTTATCAGAACTAGCAGATTGATTCCTGAATCTCATCCAATTGGCAAAAGGTCATGGTTATTAAAACATAAAAAAAAATGGGAAGTGGGATATTGCAGCGTTCAGAACTATAGGAAATGAAGTTGATTTAATGCCAAATGTGCATCCCTAAATGCCAACATGGCTAACACATGTAACAGCTGATTTTATTACTGGATTTAGATTTTAGAATCCGCTGCAGTTTAGGGCTAAGGCATTGTAGCTGTGAGCTTACTCTACAGAGGATTAATATTCCTGAATCCTACAAGCTTAGGGAATAACTTATTGTCAGTGTAGAAAAAGCTGATGGATCCTGGTGTGTATTTTCTCCATCTGGGAATACCAGCTGAGGAGTCTGCTATTGGACAGGTAATGTTATCCCTTGAAATCCCCCATATTTGTTTGTATATGCTTTATCTGCATTATTCAGCACTTTGAATGTTTAGCTAAGGTAAATATCTGAAATTTAATATATTTATTTATAAGGTACTGTTGTACCTTTTTTGGTACAACAGTAAAAAATAACAGTATTCCCAATGAGTAATTCACTTTAAAAAGATATGGTGATTTAAAGACATTTTTAAAATACTGAGTAGTGAGCTTCCATCAGCAGAGTTTTTAATAGGATTTTCAAATATATCACTTTTTTTATGTATCTGTGTACAATCCTCATTTCATTTTTTTTTCCTCTCTCCATGTTCTCTTAGAAAGGGCCTCTGATATTTACTACACCTGGGAGAATTTTCCCCATCTGTGGTTCCAGACTTCATGCCAGCACGTACATATCAATACATCAACACCCAGGAGAATCTTCTGAGGTAGGAAGAGACAAGGATCAACACTTTTGCTTTATATCTGAAGTGTGCGCACATTTGTGTGTGTGTGTCATATGAAAGAGAGAAAATAAGAGCATTAAGAGAGGAGGGAGATAACTAGAGAGGTGAATATGTATTCCTGTGTGCAAAAGAAATGCACTGTTGCTTAGTGACTTTATTAGTAAAGTATAGACTGAGGTATGCGAGGAAGAAAGCGAGAAGTGGAGGGGGGTGGGGGGTGGAATAAAATAAACTGGTATGTCAGTTGAGCTGACAAAGCTACAGAAGTGTAGGTATAAGGAAGAGGCATTAACATTATATAACATTTATATACTGTATATTTACACATTTATACTTTGGTACAAAAAGGTGCATTGGACACTATGCTCCAGCTATACAAGCAATGTATCGTGGCTTCACACTGCTCGGCCTCTCTCAGCCAGTCTGTTGATACAGGACAGGAGACAAACTGATTACAAACGTTGGCTTCAAGAGGAGTAATGCTGATTGCAGTGGACCAGCTCCTCAGCCCTTGCCAGTATACTTGATGTCACATCCAGTCTAAATTGCACACATAAGGCTTATGACCCGATCCCTCTGGGTATCTTGTGACCTTTGGTCACAGGAATGTTGATCAATATTCACTGTTTTTATCAATATCTTAATGTTTTGGAAGCTTTATGTTATTTGGAACGTGGTTGTATGGACAGAAATAGTGTTTTGAAGAAAACTCCCAATTAAAGTATAAACATATACTATACATTACTATATAGTACATATAAACAGTAAATATGGCCAAAACATGGACATTCGCCTGGTATACTTTTGAAAAATTGTGTAATAACTCTTGTATATTAGTTTCTTTTCATCAAATTTAGAGTCACAGTTGTATTCCAGGTGTATTAGAAGTCTGTTGCAATGAGTTGGATGATGGTTTTGATGGTGATATTAAAATATAGATTTTATACCAGGCGAGGATGAAAATATTTTCCTTTACTGCATCTCCATTTACTCTTTAACAGAAAAATTAATAGGTTCATCTACAGTTATTCATATTCCTTAGCTTCTGACCTATCAAAGGAGACCAGAATTAGGCATTTAGGCCTAATGGTTGAGGAGTTATTAATTCATTATTATGAATCGTTATTTTAGGCGTTATTCAAGGAAATAGGTGTCACAGGTTGTGGTGAGGCAGGTTGGTGGACCCAAAAGCAGGACACATAGAGACTGAGTGGAGTTCAGTGATTTATTTAACCAAACAAAAGGCAAGCACACTTACTGGCAGAGTAGCTGATAAGCTGAGTCCAAAAACAAGGTAATCGAAACAGAATCCAAAGGAAGCAGGGAAACACGACGAGCAAGGCAGACAACATGAGACAGAGCGTATACACACGAAAATGACCAGACAAAGACTGAGGGAAACAAGCAAGGATATATACACACACACACACACACAGGGTTAACGAGCTGGGAGGAGGTACACAGGTGATACTAATGGGACTAACGAGACACAGGCAGGCAGAGAGAGAGCGGGGGAAAACAGAGAGACTGACATGCAGAGGGATCACTGGGGCAACAGACATGACACAGGTTACTGAACACTAGAAGATAGACAAGACAGAACCCCAATACCCAACAGACCAAAATAACAGATAATAAACTGACCAAACTCAAAAGTGCAAAACATGGCAAGGCTGACAGGCAGAGTGTGACAGGTGTCTAGTAGTATAGTCTCCAAGTGGATAACTAGAGAAAGCTGTATCCATATTCTTGGTAAGCCATGTGCGTTCTTCTGGTTGATGACCTTCATAAAGGCTGTACCTTTTTACCAGTTCTGTTGCCAAGGATTATACTTTCCGCGTATGCGAGGCTCCGCTAGGGCCAGCATGACGAAAAAATCATCATCAGTTATGATACGCATCATCAGTCTGTGTGGACGTCTGCGTACCTCCCGTTTTTTGTCGACTAGTGCTACCAGGGCAACAACCGATCTACTGCGTATGTGACAACGTATCCACCAAGCTGATTGCAGAAAGTAGTCCACGTCCGCGGGGTCCGCTGCTGTCCGTGTCCGCATCCACTCCCGAGTATATTCGAGACTTAATTGTGCAGCAGATGGGATTGGGGTTAGTACCTCCAAGTCTGAGGCTCCTTTAGTTTGGGAACAAGTTTCTGCCCCAAGAAAATACCAGGATTTTGTTCACAAGTGAGGCTAAAGTTGAGTGCAAGATCAATTATAGGGGACTCAATGATATGGTTTAATATCTGAGAGACTGAGAGAGAGCCGAGTCTGAAGGTAATGCTTTCAGTTTACCAGTTGAGGTACATTCTAAACCTCACAAATGGCTCTGCGTAGTGACCAAAATAATGACATTGCAGATATAGGAAGCTGAATGAACTTTTTTCACAGGGCATTTGGGCCACATGGGGTGAGGAGCTAAGACAGTGAGCTCAGACAACGTCCAAAGCTCCATCGCATTGGAAGGAACCAGTTGAAGTGGTTGGGACCTCTGGTCAGGATCCCTTCTGGACATTTCGTTGTGGAGGCACATCACTGACATTAGACCAGTGGGGTGGACCCCAATCCACACTGGAGGGATATCCTACCTGACCTGGGAATGTCTTGGGATCCTTCAGGAAGAGCTGGATAATTCAGCCAGGGAGAAGGATGTCTGGACTATTTTGCTTAAATCCGAATATTTAATTGACATCTTAAATACTGCATTGAATTAAATTAACTGGCACATAAGTGTATAGAAATAGAGCACATGTTGGTTGGGCCACTGACTTATTTATTCTTCTGTCTTTTTGTCTTTCATAATAATTTTTAATTTCAGCCTGAGCTGTGCTATCACGCTGAGCGGCATTCATTTTAGATGGATAGAAAACATTGTGTTATCAGGGCTTTTAGCCTTTGTGCAAACAACCCTTTTAATTAAGACTGTTCAGTTGTGCTCCAAACTCATATTTGCAGAGGGTGGGGGTGGGATGAAATAGCAAGAAAGGACAAGAGATACAGAAAAAAAGAACTGAATATGACCAGACCCAGCTGTGGTAAATGTCACAAGGTTCTGATGCCAGAAATATCAAACAGCATAAAAAAATTTTTTTTTAAAAATCATAATAAGTAAGAAAAAACACCATCGCAATCAGTTTCTTCTCACAAATGTAAAGACTCAAATTATGCAACCAAAACCTAGATTTGTAAACCACAAGATTAAGTGACAACACCACATGGACAACTGGAGTCTGCAGGATAAAATAAGTCATGAGAGCCGCCTGACATTAAATCAAACAGCAGCCATAAGTTAGTGCTTTCAAACTTAACGTAAAGACTGAGCCAAACTGCATGTGAGAGAACAGACTATGCTCCAGCTTAACCTGAAAAACCGAATGTGTTGTGGTGGCAGCCCGGCTGACGGTGAGTGTCCTGGTTTTTTTCTCCTTTTTATCAGTTATTCTGCTTTTTCCTTGGTTTTCTGTTCCCTGCCTGCCTCTCTGTGTTTTCTCCCTGTGTGCTCTCTCTCCCTCTGCTCCTGAGCCCAGCCAACTACCTGCACCTGCATCTCATCAGCCACCTCGTCAGCCTGCCACACCTGCCAGTAATCAACCTCATGCCTGCCTGTATTTCAACCCCGGTTCTCCACACCATCCTCGCTTGATCGTCGTTGCTCCATACCAGGTGCCCTCTCCGCGTTCAGGCTTTCATGTTTCTTGTTTTTTCACGTTTTCCCTGTACCTTATCGCCGTCATCCCTAACCCTGTCTCTCTGTCTGTTTCCCTCCCAGGTACACTCACCCTCGTCCTCCGTTCAGTCGGCTGGGCTCATCCACCGGCCCTCTCCTCCTAAGACTTCCCTCACGGCGTCCTCCCTGTTCTCCCACCGCTCCTCGCTTCCTCAGCCCCAGTGTTCCCCGGCTCCCTGGCCCCCTGTCTCCTTGGTTCCCCGTGCCTGTGCTTCCCCGAGATCCACCTTTTCCTCCACTCCAGTCCCTCTACCCCTTTCTCCCTCAATAAACCTCCTTCCCTCTGAACATTGCATTTGGGCCTTCTCTGTCCCCACACACACAACCCCGTAACAGAATGTAGTGTCTAGTTGGCAAACATGAACACTTAAAAATGTGAGTGGGGAAAAGTGTGACAGACCCTGGGAAAATTTTCTAGGGAAATTAAACTAGTTCTGAGTAAATAACAATGACAAATATAGCTCAAAACTGTTGTAGTGAACAAGCCAGTGTGGATTGGTTCATTTTATATCAAATAAATTTGGAGATCCCAAATTCTTTCTCTCTCCCTGAGAGAAAGAAAAGGAGGAGGTTTGAGATATCAACCCTCAACAGACAGCTGAAGCGACCCAAAGGAGGAGGTGAAAGGTTTGCTTTCCCTAAGTGCTGTTTTTGGGCAGTTCGATCGTAAAACTTTGGCAGCAGCCGAGATAAGACTCGGGGCCTGACTGTTAAAATGACAAATTAACACAGGAGGGCAGGAAACTCTAAACTGCCCCCCCCCACCCCCCGTAACCATGACATTCCTCTTTGTTTAATTACCTCACATCAAAGGATATTCTTTGATGTGACGAGAAACTCCAGACGCCAGAGAAAGACCAAAGGAATACTGTCTCCTCAAAACTCAAAGCATTACCTTGTTTAATTAAATAATCTTTAAGTTACTTAACAGGTCTCTCCACTCCATTTGAGTAGTTATGTTACCATGTTGTTGTTGAAAAGAAGAATCCATAAACAAGTTAATTTTGCAGTGCTTTAATTTTCAGCAAGGATCCCTGACATTTCTTCAATTTATGTTGTAACCAATGCTTTGTTCCCAACACTTTCTGACACTTCCTTTAGAAATGATATGATAAAGAAATGTTATCCTATGCTACTTGATTAATTTTACAGCTCTAATTTAATGTTAAATAACTAATTTTCCCAGCTCCTGAGCAAATCATTGTTTAAAGAACTAATCATTTGCTTCATTCTCCTAATGGAACCAGAGTTCCCCCAAGAGGACAAAATAAGTATTACATGCCATCGTTCTGAAATGCTGTTTAATCTTACCGTTTATCGTTCATAATATGATGCCATGTTCGTATAACTTGCCCTCATATATTTAAGTAAGAATGTGTAACAATATTATCCAGGAAACATTGAGTAAGTAATTCATTCTGAAATCCCGAAAATGTGTTTAACTGGTAATTGCAAACTGTAATTCCAATCATTACAACGATTAAGTAATTGTTTCCTTTTTATCAAATGCTTGAAACCAAGAATGGTATAACCGTTTGACAATTAAGGTTTGATTGTGGGAAGATATTTGATTACAATACACGCAAATAGGTTTTAGAATAGACATATTAAAAGTTAAAACACAGTCTCTCAGGAAACCGGAAACAAGCCCTCAGGGGAACAAAGCCAAGCCCCCTGGGAACACGCCCCAACAAATAAAAGCAGCGACACGCGCTCGCTCGCTCTCTTGGCTCTGTTCGCTCTTCCCTTGGACTTCGGCACGCTAGCTTGCCACGAAAATTCTTTGTTCTTTTCAAGCTACACACGCGAAGTGCCGCGACCTCGGCTTTTCCCTCGTTTCCAGCAACTTACTTGCTTTTTCTTTTCTTTTCTTTGTTTAAAGTTATCAGACCGCTAAGTTACACAATTTTAACAATTTTAATTCTGTCCGCCTGGTCCACAACAAGCTGCGCTTACCGTGGAAACTGGACTGGTAACTCTGCATTCCCAGCTCCATGCACTCACTGTGACACTTTCGCACGTTGGGCTGTCATCAGAGCAGCGAAAGTGCGTTCAAGGACACCATGGATCAACGGGCTGTGGGGTGTTCAAGGACACCACTGAGCAGCAAGCCGTGGTGCGTTCAAAGACACCAGGGTTCTGGGGGTCTTCTCATTGTCTGGCAGTGCGGGTGCTGCCCAGCAGGGTGTCAGTCTTCATAGATGAAGTCTTCATCGATGAAGACTGACACAGATGACACTGACACAGAGACAACACCTGCTGTCTCTGAAAGCCCTACACGTCCCAGGCTTGGAGAATGGGGGTGGCTGACCTCATGTCGAGGGCTGGCCCCCAACCGAGCGGGTGGAGACTGCACACCAATGTGGTTCAGCAGATCTGAGCTCACTTCGGGAGAGCGGAGGTGGATCTGTTTGCCAACCGGCACACCATCCACTGCCCGCTGTGGTTCTCGATTCAGCCACAGTGTTGCACAATGCTGGTGTTGGACCAGCCTCTCCAGGTTTTTCTCCTAAAAGGGAGAGAACAGTCTGCTGCTTCATGGTGACCGCAGTGCAGCCGGATTGAGACTAAACCCCTCCTTTGTTCTTAAGAACATAAGGAGCATGTTCAGGTCCAGGACAATAAATCTGGATGCCTTCTATCCCCCCCTACGCTACTTAGGGTACAGGGAGGTGTGATTGCATCTGTTGTGTCCATGTGTGCTACTCTAACGTCTTATGTAGACCACACAGTCCTCTTTCAATGCACTGGTCAGCTGCGATGGTCTGTTTCAGTGAACCCTGTCCAAGAAGAGCCTGGCCAGCTTGCTTTGTGAATGAATCTCCCAAGCATGTACACGGGCGGGAACAGACCCACCCTTTAGCGGTGCGTGCACATTCCACTTGAAGTGTGGAAGTGTCTACGCTCAGGGCTTTGGCCGGCTTGTGGCCGACCGGGCTGGCGTGGTGGACTTTGGCTTGAACGGCTAGGGCGGACAGTCATTGGGCTCCACCCACTGTACCCATAGAGTCCAGTAGATGGCGGAGCCTGTGTGAGATAGAATGAAGGTTACGATATGGTAACCCTAGTTCTATAAGCACAGGCGGAGCCCTCTACCGATGAGCCCTGCTGCTCCGATGCCATCTGCTGAGGCAGTAGGGACACTGCTATTTATACATCATGAACGTATCGGTAGCGATATCCTATTGGTCGGCTACGTGCACAATTAAAATTTCAGTGGGCAAGTGCGTGTGATTAGAGGATGTAGTAACCATAGAGTCCACCTGTGCGCCTGTGGGTTAAAGGGACTAGAACTAGGGTAGAAATATGGTAATATTGTAACGTCGATATTTCACAGACCAAAAATTTATATTTTCAGATGCAGACAGAAGAGTTTAATTTTAAGCTTTGGGAGCTAGTTTCAGAGTCCATTTCGAACAACTCCATCCACATTGGGTATGATGAAACCAGCTCATTTCCACATGAAGTTAAAGTACCTCCAGTCTCACCACACACACACACACACACACACACACACACACTGTTAATGTATTATACAGGGGTTGGTAATAGCATTTGCTAGAATGAAAGAGGCTCACCCTATCAGAATATATTTGTGGCACAATAAAATGTGCTAATAGCAGGGGTGCGATGAGGGAGGTGGGCACTGTTAAAACAAATGTATGTCTTTAAAATACATTTAGATCAGGGAGTGGCCTTGGTTGTGGCTGCCCTACTGTTTTCCAATATGAGGCTCACACAGAGCCACTCTGAGAGATTTTGAACAAAATCAATTGTTTGCTTTGTGCACAATGCAACAGCTTTTTGGATATTGATTATTTCCAGAGACTGTAATGAATACCATATTTACATTCCTGGGGCCAGATGCATAAAACCCTGTAAACTGTGTAGATTTATGACTAAAACTGTGTGCACGAGCAAAGACAGAAATATGCAAACGTTTTCTTTCAGATTTATAAAGCTGTGTGTACGCCTGCTTCTGTTTTATAAATCTCAGACATTGTGGAACAGGATGAACAATGCACAAGCCTCATTTTCACTTCCACCGTTCACCATAAATGGGTGTAGAAACATCCTTAAACATCAGTTTTCATGTCAGTACTTGCCCATCAGAAAGACGATCAATGATTAATTCATAGAGCTCATATTGAAACAGACTTTAAACTGCTTTACAATTCAGAATGAAATCGAAATATCATTAACAGGGAATTTGTGGCTCAGATGTAACAACCTAACCTAACCTGGAATTGGAATGCAACCTAAACAAGCAATGTTTCACTACAGCACCCACAACAATCTTAAGAAAACTGTGTGCACGCCTGCCGTTATTTTATTAGATACTGGATACCAGTTTATGTGGGTGAAATGGCGTGAGCACAGTTTCTGTGCATATATATCATTTTTAAATCTGGCCCCTGTACTCTTAAACATGCCTGAGTCAATGTTAAGTGATTAGTGTGGATTGAAAATGTATGAATGAAAACAGAAATGTCATAGCAAAGACAAAACACAAAAGTAAACAGCGACAGGCTCAAACTTGCTAGAAAATACCCTTTTATACTGTATGCAATGGATTATCCTGGTTTAACATTGTGAAAGAATGACTGAAAGCTCACACCATAAATATGATTACCACTGGCCTTTATAAGATTTGTAAACAGATTTTAATTAGATCCATCAACAGTGTTAGTGCTGTGTCTGATAAATTGGGTCATTCTTCTAAAGCAGGCCTTCTTGCTCGTGGCGGATTCACCCTGAGGAGGAATACGCACAGCTGCTGCTGAGACAAGAGGGGAGAATCAGCAAGGCTGAAAGAGAGGGAGGTGGGTGGACTAGACGGCAAATCGTGATGGTTTTGGTTGTAAAGTTTGCGTGTTATTTTTTCAGAGAAAGGTCTATAAAGTGGCTCAGAATAGAAATCAGCAAGGTTTCCTTTTACACCTTCACTCTCTGACATCTGTTAGACATAACACAGTCTTTTATTGTTTTTACAACAAAATGAAAATACTAGCTGCCATACTGTATTGCTTTTTTAAATAAAAGAAACAAGTGGCCATTTTAAGAGCCCAAAATGACTAGGAGGGGAAAAAACAGTGCAGCTTCCCATGTGCTTTCTATGAAGAGTAAAAGGCACAGTGAGGTCTTTCTTTAAGGTCTGGGTAGAGTTCACTTTGAGTTCCACATTCTGTTTCAGTTAAGGGCTGAAGAGTCAGCGCGGCCATGCATGCCTCTTTACAATGACACCCATGATTCTCAGAATCAAAACTTATTCACAGGTGTCATTTTAAGTGCTTGTCTGTCTTTGCAGAAGTAGCTGCCTGTGAACCAATTGCATTCATTTCTTTCTTTGTGTGTTTGGTTGTGTGTGCATGTATGTGTGTGTACACTCCACTGGGGCCTCTCCTCCTTGGCTTCACACAGCCACAAACCCATCTCTCTCTTCTCCATGCCTTCGTTATCCCTCTGAATGCACGTGTGTGTGTGTGTGTGTGTGTGTGTGTGTGTGTGAGTGAATGTTGGCACATGCGCACACAGAAATCTGCCTTAGACAGCTGCTCCTGAATAAACATTGTTTACTTCCTAATCGAGCAGGGAGAGCACTGTGGGCCTGAACTCTCACTGTTACCACATACACACGCATACACTAACACACACCCACTCTCCTACGCACGCAAACACAATACCACACACACACACACATACACATACTTAGAGAAAGAGCGCACACAGGTATCAGCTTTATTAGCTATAATCATCTACATATAATCCATATGCATCCATCATGCAGTAGATATCAAAGTGTTTTTGTTTATGCAGCAATCCATCACTGATGGGGCCTGGAAGATAATTCCATAAAAGGTAGAAATGGTACTACACCTTTGGTGTCATGAATATGCAACACTCTCAATTTTTTACAGTCTGGGAGACGAATACATACTCACACTTTAACACATACACGCACACACACACATGCAGACAGATAAATTGGCACACATGCATAAATACACACATCCTGGCTGACGTCGGGGGCTAGGATGCACTCGGTTCTCCTGCAGGAACAGATGGCCTCAACTCTGGAGGGATGATCACAGGGAGGATGGAGGTCAGGAACCAGCGAGGGACGGAGGGGGGCAGGGGACGAAAGCTGGAAGGAATGATCAGAGTGGCCTGATGGCAGGCAAGGAGATGTAAGGAGGTTTGAAATGAGGATTGATATTTTGGAACGTAAAAGGGTGATCAGACGCGAGGGCGAGAGGTCTGCAAGCAGACAAGGAGAGGTGAAGAAAGCAGAGCTGAAGAGCCAGAGAATGGAACAAGAGAAATAGAGGTCTAATTGCAGGGACTTTGCTGTAGGAAGGGATGGAGGAATCTATGCAGTAGATAAGAGGGATGGAAGGATCAGAGAGGAGAGGAAAGAGGGATGATGGTCAGAGAGAAACTGGGTATAAGGAGGGACAGAGAGATTGAACAGAGGCCAACGGTCAAGAGTGAGGGATGGATGGATGGATGTCAGGGACTGACACGTGTTTGGGTTAAAGGGAAAGCTAAAATAAGTTGAAGGAGGGGATGAGAGAAAGGATGGGAAATGATGAAAAGATGGAGGGCGACAGGACTGAAGGTAGGTGTGTGATGATGTCATGTCGTAAAAAGACTCCACTGTATCAGTCTATCTTGATTTATCTTGTATCTATTTTCTGAGGGTAAATTGGGAGAAGGAGAGAGTATGGAGGTCAAGTGAGCCATGAAATAAAAAATGGATGGTATAGATGGAGGTGAGGAGGACTGTTTACAATACCAAATCATTCACACATTGCTTATGGAGCCCTGGAACTAACAGAATGTAGTAAAAGGTTATCAGTTATGTGAGGAAAAAACCACAAGAAAATAATGCACAAAAAGAAATACAGAGAGAGAGAGATGTTTTTCCTTTACTAGCAATAAGTTGGTAAAATAAGCTAAACTGTATTTAATTTTCCCTTGGTCAGTTTATTTTTCAAATACTTTCTTGTCCTTGTTTTGCATCTTGACAAATTTTGAAATTTTCCTCAAGCAACATTTCTGTTTAATCCACACATTTCCAATTTTTCTTGCTTATGTATTAATGAGATAGGAGTGTCCATGCATGTCTAGAGCAGTGAAAGGTCCAGAGTTTGTAACATTTGGTGAAGCAATCAAACGTATTGTGTGTTGCTAGCTAGCTCAACTAAAACGACTGTTAACTAAACACACCATGATATATAGCACCAGCCTTTTTTACATAGATATCTAGCTGAAGCTTACATTCATTGTAAAATTTGCACGGCCAGTTTGGGTAATGTAAATCCTCTATTTGCTGTACTTCATACTGCTGTGGCATCACTTTATAAACGAACACTAGCTTAAGTATTTCAGTAGGCTAGCTAACACAAAAAAAGTTAGCTGGGTAACACTAACAAGAGGTTCACAGGCACAATGCTTTAATCTTTATAACATTAAATCTTAATCTTAATTTGCTTAAATACCAGTCACCCCCTTAGCCTCTGGGAGTGTTGTGTCTGTCACACCCACTGCACCAATGCACACTTTGACAGTCAATCCCAAACAGTACATTTAGCACTTTTAACACCATGATTCCCAATTATCCATGATCTGAAACTCGAGTATGTTTGTGGTTGTAGATGCTGTTTGGCTTGAGTCCAGCAGGAAACTGACAGCCAGCCAGAAGCAGGAAATGTGTGAGCAAAGCACCAGATTACAACTTGAGATGTTTGACAATAGTTCTGTCACAGCTATGCAGTGTGAATGTTGGAAAGGTGTTTTTAATTCCCTTTTTTTGGAAATAACAGGCCCTGTGGGAGATCAGCGCTTTTTGCAAGTGAGGTGTATGTACAGCACTGTTTTGGGGTTGATTGGTGGGTCACTGGCTGCGTCTGGCTTGTGCGCATTGCAGACTTGCTGAGCCCCTCCCCCGCCACCCACCTCCTCAGCATTACTCCCTTCCTCTGTCTATCCGTCTCTCTCTCCCATCTCACTAATCATGGCCTCAGGGCCCAGCGAATGGATGACCGAGGTTAACGCTCCCTGGAGCAGAGGAGCAATTGTAAATGAGGCAGAGGTGAAGATGAGCGGGTGAAACAGGCAGATAAAAGAGATGAGAGATGAGGTGGACGTGTGGTAAGAGCGCCTTAAGAGAGTGAAACATGAGAGAAAAAGAGACGGAAAGAGAAAGGGCCTGAGAATTACAATTTGAGTCAGCTATGATCTTTTTTCCTCGTTACCACCTCCTCTCTCTTGCTCTGGCATTTCACCCCTGACTACTCATTATTCTGATCATAACTGACGATTGCTGCACATGCAAAGTTGTTATCCACTCTTACTGTCAAATTTATGGATTTGAGACCACACACCCCTCTGTAAAACCATGAGTCATTTTTACACTTGTTGTACACATTGAACAAACATAATACAATTTTTACAATTAGCGAGCTTTAAAGGTAATTGTATAATGTTGTTTGTGGATTTTGTTACCTTCAAAGTAGTTTAGCCCATTTTTTTCGTTGGTGCCTGGACCTTTTTTACTTTCAAATCACCAAATTAGTGCTTCCTTAAACTGTATACTAGGTTGTAGGCTTGTCTCTACATTCTTAATTTTTTCTCAGTAATTGCAGTGCAAAAAATAATTTCCTCTCTTTTCCATTATCTCCAGTCACTTGTTTCCTTATCCTTCTGCCTCTCCTATTTTCAAGTCTTGTTTCAGGTCAGATATCATGCAGTGTGCTCAGTGAAAGTTTATTTAGTAGGATGACTAAATGTGGCCTTGGGCCTGCAACCTGCATTGATGGTACATAAACAGGAGCCTGCACGCATTCACGGACACACACAAACTGTCTCTTGTGGCCTACTTCTACTCCACTGAGCCCACCCGGCAGATAACTGATAATGCCAAAATAAAGTAGCTTCATACCTTGGCAATAATCATGTCGAAAAATAAATCTAGTGAGTGTGCATTTGTTTTGGGGTTGTGCATGTTTCTGCAAGAACCGAGTGGTTGCACGTCAACGCTAAAATAATCCCATTCATATCAAGAAAGCCCTGAGGCTGTAGCAGACACAGTGCTGCCACAGAGTAAAATTCAGCAGTCCTAATTGCACACGCTTTTTGCAAAAAGAAGAAGAGAATCTTATTGTTTTGGACATACACGGGTGATTCCTGATACGTGGGATGGAGACTGGAGCAAAATACAAAGGGAGACAAAATGAAACAAGAATGGAAATGAGAAGAGAAGGTCATCGTTGGAGAAAAAAGCATGTATGAAACTAATTTTAACAAAATGAACTTTATCGCCATTTGCTATTTTAGTGCTTAGCTTTAAATCTTGCAGGATTTCTCCTTAATGTGGAGTCCTAAGGGACTTGTGGCTCACATTTTGCTTGCTAAATATCAGTTTTAATGTCCGGTGGGAAACATTATGAAAGTCAATAAATTGAAGGGGATGCTGGTTAAGTGGCCTGCATCATATACTTCTGCTTCAGTGAATCGGATATAGCAACAGTAATAGCCAGATATATACAAGTAGAAACAATGCTATCTATTAGCCCTTAACTGAAAAGAAATGAGTGGAAATAACATTTACCAGAACCCTTCTCTTTAGCTATATTTCAACTCATTTTACGATCCGGGCATGAACATTCTCCTTCGCTGTATGCAAAATAGGCCACCTGCAGAGCTTAAAAAATGCCTAAAGGGCTCCGTGTAAAAATTACACACACTAACAAAAGTGTTATCAACCATTATATCCTTGCCTGTCAATACGTTTTTGTCAGCTTAAAAACACTCCCCTTAGGGCTAAACATGCCAAACAGAGAGGTAGATGTGCCTCTGTGACCGCTTTCAAAACGTGGAGAGGTTGAAGTTCAAAGGTCAGAGCTTGTCTCGGCGCTCGCACTTCATCGGGAGGGACATGTTTGGTTTAGTTGTGCCCCAGGGCTTTGATTTCTATGACCTGATATGCAGTTAAATATCCTGCTTCAACTCCCAGCCCCACCTCTCACATCCTGTCTTCCTGCACTTCTTCCTGAAGCCGCCCTCTAGCCAAGCTATGTTTAATTTATTTAGTTACAATCACCTTTTTTCTGTTGCATTTCTTTCTTCACTTCCCTTTTGTCTTTGAAAAAGGGGTTTTCTTCCATGTAGTGCTTCCCTTGCCCTCCGCTGACCTAGTTTGAAATGTAATAATGCTAGAGGAGTTGCTGCGACCATGCGCTTAAAACAAAAACATGCAAATTAATATTTAGCTAGTTATTAGCTGTTGAGCCCATTTTTGAAGGACATATTTGATTCTAGATTTTTGTCCTTTTAAAGAAAATGGCAAAGGCATGAGTAAGAAAGAAAGAGATCAGTCACAGCAAGATACCCATTCACCTGTTTGTCTTTGATAGCCACACATGCTGTCATTAACAATAACCCAGTACTCAGGGTGTGAGAGAACACTCGCATGCACACACACACACACACACACACACCTATGCACTATATACAGAAAAAGCAAAGTGGTTTTAGATGAGAAAAAATGTGAAAAGCTTTTTTAACTGACTAAAGCTCACTTTTCTTCCAATATGTGCCCCTTCCGGCAAATCCCCAATCAACACACTGACGTTCTCACACAATATTGAAAAGGTCTGGAAGACAAAAGGCTCTGCCAGTCAGACTGCTTATTCACCGGCTCTGACATGTATTGTTATTTGAAACTGCTGTCAGACAAACTAGACACACACACTCCCTCTTCTCACACACACACACACACACACACACACACACACACACACACACACACACACCAGTCTGCCTAATCATCTGACAACAAGGAGCCCATTGTGCTGTGTTATGACTTTGTAGAGCAGCCCACCACCCAGAGGGGAGAAACATCTTCGAATCAAAGAATTACACTTGCCACTCAAGAGTCAGATATCACAAGCCAAGCATGTGAGGTTAGAGGAATACAGATGTAGCCACAGAGCATGTTAGTCAGCTGAGACACCATTCCTTTCCCTTGCTCTCCTTGACCTTTGCCGGATGCCAGATGGACAAAAAGAATATTCAGGAGTCACGGGAACGTGTTTACACAGTTTCTTCAATTGAACCTTGCAAGCTTTAGGTCAATTAAAAAAAAAAACAATTTTAAGCAATGTATCCTGTCTTCGTCATTGATCAAGACACTGAACGTATGTCCCCACCGCCAGGAGCGTTGAAACAAATAATACTACTACAAATAATACTAATAATACTATTTCTAATAATAGACTTGAAGAAAAACAAAGCATGCCATATTTTTGTGACATCAAGCTAAAGGTTCACACGACGCTGGTTATCAACTCCGTAAGCGTGTTCAAATAAAAGGGGCGTAAAACCAATTGCAAACAAGTCTACTGGCAGCATATTTTAGAAACTAAGCGCAAACTATAATATTAGACAAATACGAAGAACTTATACACATAATCTAGGTATAAAACAGCACAGCTGCAGCTGCCAAATGCAGGAAGGACAGCTGGAAGGAATGTGTAAGTTAATGGGCTTATAACATCACTGCCCCATCATTAGGGCAAGAGTAAATCTGACTTCTTATGGTGTGTATGACAATTTTAGAATTAGATCTTTCAGCTGTGGCTTTTTGTTTGTTGGCTTTTTGATATTAAAAGTGGAGTCCAACCCACTTTCAAGAACTTCTCGCTTCAAAAATCTGATTCATCTATGACACCACAATGGTGGAACGAGTTACCACATGCTATGAGAGCAGGGCCGTCCTTCTCTAACTTCAAGAAGCTGTTGAAAACTCATCTCTTCTGGGAACACATTCTCTTATAACCCCTCTAACCCCTAACCTCTAACATGCACTTCCTGTGCCCTTCTTCAATCCCCTTACAATTCTCTTGTAGTGACTGCACTTTTTTTGTTAACTCTTACTTCCTTCCCCATTGATGCCATACGTGCTATTGGCTCTTACTAGTATTTATTGCTGCCCTTACTAGTATGAATTGTCAGTTGTAGATCTTGTGCTGTATTTGATGCTTTGTTGATGCTTCTTGTTCCTCAAATAAGTAAGTCGCTTTGGATAAAAGCATCTGCCAAATGAGTAATTGTAAATGTGCAACCTTAAGTTATAAAAAACACGTTTATATTAAATTTAATTTGAATACCAAAATATACTCAGAATATTTAGCCTAACGTTAAAAGAAAAAAAAAACATTTCTACAGCTGCAACAGGATGTGTTAGGCAGACAGCCAAATTAATATAAAAACATATTTCAAAGCAGTGAGCTGCTTACGTTCATATCTTAAAAGTATAACAAGTAGGCTACTAGGTTTTAATGCTTCAATCAGTCTCTGTTGGAGGATGATATCGGTATACAGAAACATCTCCCACAGCATATTAAACAGCGTGCAAGATATTCTATCAACGGTGACGCCATTTTCCAAGAGAAGTAATTGGTCAGGTCGTTGATCTCTCAAAGGATACTAAAGGATAGTACCTCCCCCAGCCACAGGTTACTTACCATGGCGATGTATCCCAGTAAAACATCAACCACTGCCGTACAACTGAAAACCCAGGGTTAATCCAGAAGTCAGCTCTCTCTCCTCAAATCCTGCTTCGTACTACAGGCCCCAGGGTGTGTGTAGCAAGAGACTGGAGGGTCAGTACTGACATCACACAGAGGGGGCCATTCTGACTAGTAATTAGCTACTGATGCAAAACACCTGGGAGATGCCAGCGAAGCAACAGTGTTGCATTGAGGCAAAGCAAGACAAGATATTTTTTTATACTACAGCGGCCAACATTATTAGGAACATTGTCATAAACCCTTTTTACATATAAATTTAAACTGCCTTCATCTAATGAAGAGCAGTCTGGACATAGCCAGAAGAAGCATACCAGCACTACAGCTTCTGTCCCCACTAGCCTTGCAGGAGGACATTAGGTGATTCTACAAGGGGATGTTGTGTTGTCCTTAACATTGTATAGGTGATACAGAGTCCAGTTTTGCAACGACCACTGAATCAAACCTGTGCTCACAAGGGACAAACAGGAACATTTTCATTTTAACATAACGTTTAACGAAGGTAGGGCATGTTTTAAATTTCCTGCAGTAGCCTCAAGTTTACTACAGGCGGCAGCTGATTAGCCTAGCTTAGCTGAAAGACTGGAAACGGAGACACAGCTAGCCTGGCTCTGACCAAAAGGTAGCAAAATCCACATACCAGCACTTCTAAAACTATCTCATTAGCATGTTATATGCTTTGTTTAACCTGAACAAAAACCAAAGTGTAAACATTACAATATATGGTTTTGGTTATAGTAGTAACAAGTCACTGGTCCTGGCCAAGAAATTGTGTAAAACCAAAATGTCTTGTTTTTACACCTTGTGTTAGTATTGATTAAACAGTCAATTGTTGGAAGGTGGACAGAGCTAAACTAGCTATTACCCCTCTTTACTTTTTGTGCTAAGCAGCCAATTGGGTGCTGGTTGTAGTCTTATATTTAATGGCAAACATTTGCTTATGGGATAGAGGGTATAATAAGTTGTACAGATTATAAAGCCCTCTGAGACAAACGTTTGGACAGTATGAATAGACTTGACTTGACTTTCAATAGTTGGTCATTTGATGGTGTTACACTATCTGCTGGCAAGCATGCATGCCCTGAGCTAAAATAGTTTTAACTTTTTTCCTTCTACCACAGCCATCAGTTTCTATTTCCAAGGCCGTGTTTTTTCATGTAGCTCATTGATAACTTAATTCAACCTGGGGGGTAAACAAATTCAATAAAAGCCCATTTTGATCCTAAATAAAAGGAAGAATAACTTTATTCTGCAACTGTTCCTTTTTATACATATTAACTGGTGAATAAATCAGATGACTGAAGCAACATGGGATCTCTGATAATAGTCCTTATGGAATTTTCATGGTTATCTTTTTATAAAAAGATCTACAAACACTCGTCAGCTTTTTTTTTTCTTGTGAGAACACCTGTGACAGTTAATCCCAGCTCTTGCCTAAAATAACCTGCAGAAGCACTGCATATTATGAGACATTTTGTTATTAAAGATCACATGGAACGTGTGAGTCTGTTCCCTCCACTAAATTGGATTCTGTATCACATGTAGAATTGAAGCCACGTTTAGTAATAGACAAAGTACACAGTATTACCTTAAGAGCTTTAAGACACTGAATGTAATTATCTTTAGATGGAAACTGCAGTTTAAATGTCAACATTTTTAATAACGAGGCACGAATCTCTCCTCTCTTAATCGAAATTTACCTCAGGAAGAAACTGATATGAGCAAGGTTGATTAGGCAGTTGGAAGCTGTTTTAGTTTATCAATGACACACACTGGGCTTTTTAGACACAGCATCTATATTTGAGCTGTAATTAAAGGCAGTCACATGCAAATCATACAATCATGGAAGCACTGATTATAATCTTTTGTGATGTGAATTCCAACTTCACATAAAAGCAAATCAATACAAAGCTTTCCAGCAGCTACTTGGCCATGCTAATTGCCAAATCAGCTGATTTCAAACAAGTCACCAGTGGCCTCTGGGGTGTTTGAAGTTTGTTGTTATTTTTTAAGATTTTGTTTTTTTTATTGCTTTGGCTTTTCTGCTTTATTTGATGGTGAGAGTAGAGAGAAACAGGAAAGGCAGGGGAGAGAGAGGGATTCACATGCAGCAGTGGGCTGGGCTTGACTCGAACCCAGCCACCACAGTGAGGACTCAGCCTTGAGACAAAGCACATGCTCTAACAGGGCGCCCAGTTTGTTAAAGTGTGTGTGTGTGTGTGTGTGTGGTGGCAGCGGTAGAGATGGTGTGTCCCACAGAAGTAAGATCTCATTTGTCTTTTCTGAATCCAACCCACTTTGTTAACAAGCTACAGTACGTATGTGCAACATAATCAATGTTTAATCCAACCCTTAATCACATTATGTAGAGTCTAATATGAATAATAAAATCGTGTCAAAGTCTAATTAGAAGAGCATAAAAAGAACAGTAATTATTTCTGTTACCTGCACATTAGTAATGGAATGCTGCTGTTCAGGAGTTTTGTTTACCTTGGTTATGGCCTACATTGTGATGTAATGTTAGTGATTTGATTTATTTACACGACTAGAGCAGACTAAAGACTAAAGATACCAGTATGCTTCATCCAAAGGGCTTCAAAGGGTATCTGAAATCCTGGATCCTACACTTCCCATAATCAAACTCCATGGCACCTCTTCGTTAGACCTTCTGTGCCTGGTAAATGCCCATGTGCTTTAAACTCTAAGCGCCCAGTTTAGGCAGCCACATCACTCAAGTTGATGACACTTGAACTTGAGTGTTTCACCTGATGAAACTCATTGGTTTTGATGGTCAAGCTCAGGAAACAGCTCCTACAATGTCCATAATGCAACTTTCCTTAGACCCTCTATGTCTGGTAAAAACTCTATGAAACTGTACACACTAGCTTGTAAGGCAGTGTTTATTTACTTTATAAAGTCACCAGAAAAAAGTGATGAAATGGTGATTTCATGTTGTGGCCCAGTCCAAGTTATCCTTCACATCACAGTGTTTCCCACAGGATTTTGTGAGACTATGTTGGGTGGACATCAATCCTCTAAGGGGGTCTGGGGGCATGCACCCCCGGAAAAATTTGTAGCCTCAAATTTATAGCCTCTCTTCAGGTAAGATTCTCATATTACAACACTTTGTAAAGTGAGAAATTGACAGAATAAAGTCACTAACCCTGCCTGTTAGCTTGCTCTGCTCCTTTTAACATAGCATTTTTATTTGCAAATTAATATTTTTTGGTGCAAGCTATTTTTCAGAACATTTTTAACAAATGCTTTCAAAAAGTGGTGGCTACATGTTCCCCGGTGTAAATGACCCTACCTCCCTGCTTCCTCCCTACAGGTTGAGCCACTCCATGCTTCACCTGCACTCTCTCTCCTCCTGCTCTCTCTCTCTCTCTCTCAGCCCTGTCACTTTGTCACTCGCTAACACACGCCTCCTCCTCTGCCTAGTTAACTCCTTCAAGTGCCTGTGCCCGCACTACGTTGGGTAGGGCAGCTGATGTTGAAGCTACCGCAGCCCCGGTAGCATATCGGTTATTTTCGCTCATTTGGCAGTAGCCGTCTGAAGATTTCTTTTTTTGGGGGGGGGGGGCGTAACGCAAGAAACAGAGAGCAGAGGGGGTGGTGGCTAGTAAGAGATATGATTGGGCCGGCCCAGTGTTAGTATAAAAAATTACCCAATGGGCCACTGTCCAGGCTTTATGGGCCTATCGTTGGCCCATTTTTCAAAAACAGTTATATAAATGCACAATTTACGTTACATCGGTCCCAAAGGTTTGTCGCCACACCGGGCATTTTGCCAGATTACCAGTCCAGCCCTGATCTGGGTTATTTTCTCAAGGCTAAATCTTGAACAATTCTTGTCTGGTCTATGTACAGTAAATGAATGTGCACAGGATTCACTCAGATAAGTCCGCATGGCTTTTATACTTGTATGTAATACATTTTTGTTTTTGTCTCTGTTTTGGAACTGCTACTATCTGCACAGCGCGTTGAGTTTTGGGAGGTGTGCACGTTAGCGCCTTTGCCAGTTTCTGCCACTGAAGGCTACCCATAACACACTTCAATGTGTAGGTTCACAGAAATGTTTATGTGTACCTTTGGAGAAGTATAATTGCAGCTTGAGTAGTGCACCCCATGACGAGTAAACTGATGGGAGAAATCCCCTTTGTCAAACAGAATGTGTTGAAAAATTGGGAAAGTGTAAGTTCATACTATGCTGTATGTATGTTAGAGAGAGAAAGCTAGTTTGAATTCCTTAAATGTACTTAACCTACAATGTGTGCCAGTTTTTTGTTTTGGCTTTGAATACTTTTTATTTGCAGCCATATGCATATTTGCATGCTCCATGCTCTCTGTGTTATGAAGGAAAACAGTTCTTGCAGGTTTGGCTCCAGAAACCAGGATTAACACAAGAACACAGATTTGGTTCACAAAGCAGTAAGCAATTTCACACCTTTTTGCTCGGCTAACCTGATTGCAAAGGAGGGCGAAACGGACACTGTGTCAGTGTGTAATACTTTGTTGTCGAGGTACTGCTTTCCTGGAGGAAAGGATGAGGAGGTAGAGACAGAGGAAGTGTGAAGGAGGATGAAGGGAAGTGGGGACCAAATGTGTACAGGAGCTATTTGCTTGTCCCATTTCAGTTAACCTCATCCGTGTTCTAAACCACAATTCATCTTAAGCATCTTCGCCAGGTGCCTGCAAATGAACAATCAGACTGTTTATAAACACAGTGTGAAAGCTGGCTGTCTGGTTGTGCTGCCATAGCCAGACACTGGACTGCGCCAGTGCCAGTGGCCACTGCCAGTGTTACAGCCACACTCAGCCCTGTCAGATCGGCTAACAGATGGCCTTCAACGGGCTAGATCCTGCCACAGTGCTTCCAGAATGAGACGAAATCCAATGACAAGTGATGAGAACATGCAGGGACAGCAGAGTGGGAGTGGTGCCGCAGGTAGTAATGGCAAAATCAAACAGAAAAAACAGAGGGTGAGGAGGAGATGTGAAGATGGTTTTGAATGGATTAGGAGAACAGGAGTGTAGGACAG